TTTCATAGTGTTCCCCACTGACTCCTTATTACTGTGTTTAGTTTTGGGCAGAATGCTTTAGGAAAGAAGAATTGGAACAGGTTCAGAAACAGGACAACAAAGTTCACCACTTGTGTATAGATTGTTGCAGAAACCTGTTGTGCATAGCACTGATTGGTTAATGCCTGTGTAATCACAGAGCCATGCTTTCCTGATACATATTTAAATGCTGTAGGTTTTCTTTTTAAAATAAAAAACACATTTCCAGCTTAATGAAAATATGTAAATACTACTTTTATTATTATTTTTAAAGGTTTGACAGGTTCTTTTATATAGGAGGAAACAGCTACAGAACACAATGAAGCCTCTTTGAAAATGACTGAATCAGTATTTCATTAACTGGTGAATTAATTTGCCAAATTCCCTGTAATGTAAGGGAAAATCAAATTCACCCACGAGAGAAAGACACATTGTAAGTCTTCTATTAAAATACAGTATATTTGTCTGACCTGCTCTTTTTAAACACTGTACCTTTTACGGCAATAAGTAATATCAGTTAATGGGTCTGTTGTAAAATTGAAGTGTAGCTTTTCTAAGTTTCGGTATTCCTTGATACTTAACACAATGCCAACAGGATGTATGTTTTAGAGCTAAAGCAACAATATGATCAAGACTGCATATTTGTTTCTATTGACCTATAATCTAGGATACAATGTTTTCTCCCATTTCTGTAACAGGCTAATTTATAATTGGGTTATCTTCTGTTATTGTCTCTTTGTTGCTTGTTTTTATTTTTAACACTTTTAACTGGCTCTTAATGCTGTCCTTTGCTTTTGCTTTTGTTGTTTATATTCTTATTTCACTGGTGTGGCATACTTTGCGAATTTTATTAATATAGAAACCCAATCTATATATGTATACTAAAATATATACTTGGCTCTGCTCCCCCCCCCACATTGAAAGGCATGGCTCTTTAAAATTAAACAATTCCATCTCATGTTAATTCTTCCTCTTTTCCTACTGCTTTCAACTTTTCCTACCATTATTGTCTTTCTGTGTGAATCTTGTCTTATGATATGTCCAGTTTAATTTCTTTAGCTTCTAGTAAGAGTTCAGACTTGAATTGATCTAGAAGTTACTTCTTTGTCATTCTGGTGCATCTTGATATGTGAAAAGCTCTTCTCCAACACTTTATTTTGAAAGAATTGATTTTTTACAATTATAAAGCTTTCACATCCATATATAGTAATTGGGAATACAGTACTATAGTATGGGATTGGGCCATGTTTTCTAGTAACTCACCCTTACCTTATCTATTAAGCTCAGGCTAAATATAAAACTTCTCATTTATGAATGTGGAATATTGTGCTTCCCTATCCACAATTCAAAACACTTGGCAAGCAGGGAAAAGGACAATAAACGTTGCATAACAAAGGGCAGCCTGACTGTTTATAGCATCAACTTGGGCAGGCAAGATGGTCTACAGGATGCCCTCTTGTGATCACTACTATTCACAAACCAAGCAGGGGGGAAATCACAAAACTTGACTTTTTTTTCATCAGTTAACAACTACTCACCAAAACACAAACCAATTCTAAAGGTTGTTTTTCTACATGTTCTCTAGGTATTTGTTGCTTGGAAAATATGGATGATCATCAAGTGTTGTGATGAAACTGCTGGGTTTTTTTTGTGGGGATTGACAAGGGCTTATAGATCCATACAATCAGTCATAACCATGAGTGAACTGGCCCTTGAATTGATTGCTGGTGTGTATGTAGAGAGGTGGCTTTGACTCACGGTGCAGATCTTCTGTTTTGCAGACTCAGAGGAATGGAGGTCATAGAATCACCATCACAGAATCCTTGTAGGGTTGGAAGAGACCCTGGAGGTCTTCTAGTCTAACCCCCTGCCCAGGGCAGGAGACCTCGTACCATCCCAGACAAATGGCCCTCCAATCTTTTCTTGAACATTTCCAGCACTGGGGAGGCAAGCTGTTCCATTGCTTAATGGTTCTCATCATCAGGAAAATTCTCTGTATTTCAAGACTGGGTCTTCCTCTGATGAGTTTCCACCCATTGGTTCTTGTCCTACAGTTTGGAGGTCATTGTCTCATATAGTCACCACGCATCAGAAATGACTTGGTGACATATGAAATCTTTTAAAAAAATACTAAGCAATTGCATTGTAATAAGACAGGTGGAACTTTACCCAACTACCAATCACCACTAACACCATCATTGTAAAACTGGAAATTTGAGAGGGACCCTGTCAAGGAGGCTCAGTGGGGAATCATACTCCCAACTTGTGGCTCCATAGTCAGATACCTAAACCACTGATCTTTCCAACTGTTCCATTCCCTAGCCACAAAATTAAACCTAACCAAACCACATCACACCATGCCACACCGCAGTAGTTTCACAGCTTAAACAAGTGAGCTTCTGAATATTTCTCCTCTATCCTTTTCTTAATATCTAGTTTCTGCTGTATCAGAGCCCAGGTTAAAAAAATGTATGTTTTTTTTAATTAGAGTTGCTCCTATTTTTTAGAATTGCCTTATATCATGCTGATTTGCTCTGCTGCACAACATCTTACCTGCACTCTCCTGGAGCTATAATCCGCAGTGTGAGGCTATGACAAAAACAGCTCCTGC